AAATTAAATATTAATATTTTAATTATCAATTAATAAAAAAATTGTAATACAATATAAATTATTTATCATAAATTTAGAATATAATTTATATTTTTAAGAATATTTATTTATATAAATTTTAAATATAATTTATATATTCAAATATAGTATTTATTTATATATAAAATACTAATAAACTATGAAACACTACTTTTAATCATGACTTGATGCTTAAGGTGAAAATTGAACATTGTTCCTTAGTTAAAGAGTATAAGTACTAAACCAATCGAGTTAACAACTTTTGATAATTATTAATGTATATCAATAATATTTAATATTGATGAATACTCCCTCCGTTTTTTTTTCATTGTCATTTAAGGTTATGCACAAGAATTAAGATAATTATAGATATTTTAGTTTTTTAAAGTATTTATTACATATTTTCTTGTTATACCCTTTGGGTGGTTGTAGAAGAAATAAGTATATTAGAAAATGAATAGACATATTGGTTAGTAAATATGCATTAATTATCTATCAAGGGTAAAAATGAAAAAGAAAATTAATAAGTTATTGGTTTTAGAAAAGTGACAATGAAAAAAAAATAACAAAATCTGACAAAATGACTATGAAAAAAAAACAGAGGGAGTACAAATTATTAATAAATATATTTTTTGTTATCAAAATGATCTAGTAGGTCACTATATTTAATATAACATAGTATCTACTTAGTGGAAAACATAAATCATTCAGCTACACTAAGGTTATTATGTAACAATCACTTGGACATTCATGCAATAGACATATATAGGATGCAGAAAACTTAAAACAGTTAATGAGAATATAACTAAAAATATAAATCCTCGTAAGGGTTACATATACTTCATGTACATGTATAAAATATACATGTAATATACCAAAACTATAAAGAAAACAGTCTTATCGTTGATCAACATCTCTATATAAGAAATATTGCAAAAGAATATCATACTTAAAAATGGGTCATCTTCAACATGATCATCCATTAACATCCAAGCCACCAAGTTAACTTTCTCCTAATCCCATATCAACTATGATCATTTCAATCCAACAAAGAAAAAAAAGGGTAAACTTGTAAAAAATTTGACATAACAATAAGATAAAGAAATAACAACTTCATCAACTAAGTTCAAATTAAACAACAACAAGCTAGTTCATAGCATAACATCAACTTATCAATATCAACTACAACTTTCAATCAACATATACAACTTACAAAATGAACAACTTTAATCAATACATAAACAACTTTAAACAATTAATGTATTGTCACACATAACAACTAAAGATCTCCCACAACAAAGGTGATTAGTCTAATGATTTGATTCTACCAAATCACTGTTTCATATTTATTGTAACTAGATTAAGTAGATATAATGTTAGGCCTTTCAGAGCACTTAGTAAACAATTTAAACTTATTTTTTAGGTTGTGTCACTTAGACTAAAAAAGTCTAGTACTACTGTCAATAAAAACAACTTGGATGCGAGCCTACTATGTGCTACCCTCCAAATACTATGTATCTTTTTTGTAATCAGATAAGAATTTTACCCCTTAACTTCATAATCAATTGGTCAATTTTATACATGTATGATTTGACTTTGCCCCTATAGGATCAACATTTTGTCACTTTATAATTAGTATGGCTTGACCTGGCCTCCATACTGTTTTCACATAAAACTTAGAGGAGACAACTTATAAACAACTACCCATTTAGAAGTCAACTTACTCATTTAAGAATTTTCAACTTTAGGCTTTTGAGGTACCACAACTTATATCCATACAATGAAATATTTTAATTTTTAAAATAGCTTTACTCTCCTCTAATTTTTATATATCTCAACTAAGACATGTATTTCATCTCCACATGTTTATACAACTCAACAATGTAACACCCCGAATTTTTCTACTAATACTACGAATAATTATTATCTATTTTTGTATTTATAAAGATTATTTTCTTATAATTATTTTGATTAATTAAATGGGTTTGATTGAATTTTTAAAGGTTTTTAATAATAATCATTTATGAAAATTATTTTGTATAATATTATTAATTATGATATTTTGTTATAATTATTATTTGAAGAAAATCATGTTTTAAATTGTATTGATATTTTATTTTAATTTGATATATATATATATATATATATATATTATTTATTTATTTATTAATTACTAATTCTAGATTTTTATAGC